TGCCACAGCCACAGGCACCGCGCGCCCGCGATGGGACCGTGCACGCCAGAGAGGGAGCGAAAGCAGGAACGAGCAGGAACCCCGCCCGGGCGTGTGTGCCGGGCGACGGGGCCCGGGGAGCTCCTGCAGGGCTGGCCCTGCCCCGCGGCCTCCGGGCCAGGGGCACCCGGCATAGGCCGCGTGCGGCCGGGCGTGGGGAGGGCCGAGGCGCCATCCTCCTGCCAGCTTTAGGCACACTGGGACTTTATCAGCCGCACCTAACGATGATACTTTCCGGGAAGTAACTGGAAAACAGCCTGAGGACATCTATGAACGGCGGTCACGTTTTCATTTCTTTCAGCAAATCAGTTGGTAGTTGATTTAAACTTCAGCGTCCTGCAGCTGGAGAGAGCAAGCCAGACAAATAGCGTGTCCTCAGTGCGTTCCCAGGGCGGTCTTCTCTGGAAACCTGGGCGCCACTTCGGCTGCTACCAGGGCTTACGGGAGCTCAAGGTAGAGCTGCCAGATCCTCGCAAATTAATTTGGTGAAACCTGGACCCTTTGGGGCCTTGAAAACAGTTGTAAACATCACGGTCCTCAAAAGTTCATTTAACCTGTAATGTTCACTTCTGTACATTTGCAGTGAAAAGCATCAGAAAAGAACTCTGTTGCAGGGGTAATAATTAAACAGCACGGTTTAGCGGTGGTTGTGAGTAAGGTAAGAATGTGGAGAGCGTCCTGCCTGTGCTCAGTCCTGTCCCCTGCCCTCCCTCCTGTCTTGCTGGCTTCCTGTCTTTTCTGGAACCCACTGGTCGGCTCTCCTGCTCCAGGGTCTCAGAACAAGTTTTTCCCTTTACTTGGAACACTCAGACCACCTCCACCTCCGCGGATGTTTCTTAGATCATCTTTTCAAGTCAGGATCCCCAAGTCCCCTCATTCTCTATTCTGCGTACCCTCTAATTCTTTCTTGGTTATTACAATTTGTAATGATATATCCAGCTCCTTGCATATGGTCTGTCTCCCCAGCTGTATTGTAAAATATTATAAAATTACCTGTTTCCTGGTTTATCTGCTTATTGTCTTTTGTCTCTAGATTGCAAACTCTATGAGGACACTATTCACCACTGTATCCCCAGCACCTTGTCAAATGCGGGCTCCCCAAATATCACTAGAACAGCCGGCTGGTAAGACAAGGCTGAGTTTATTGCTTACCTCCCTGCCCCTCTCAGTCTGACTACGCCTCATAGGGAGAAGTGCAAGTCCATATTTGCTGAGACTTTGAAGTCTGATTTGAGGTGGGGGGGTCGGCAGGGAGGCTCTTTCAATGCCGGGGTAAGGGCACAGGTTGATAAGCATTAGGTAAGGGTCATGAACAAAGCAAAGAGGATTTTGAGGTAGGAGTTCAGACGGTTTTAGGGTACAAACTGTCATTTGTTTCTATTGATGGATCTTTCAGGTAGTTCCTGGAATAAACAATAAAGTTAATTGAAAATGTTCAGTTTATCTTCTTGGGCAAAACTCTTTTGGAATAATAGTTATGCCAATGAGGACAGTGGAACAGTCATGTTAATAATGTTGAAAGTAAGCTGTGGGAGGGTACCTGGTTTCAGTTCTCAGCCTACAGCAGTGCCTTGGACATGACAGATGCTTAATGAACATTTGTTGGTTGATCAAACTGAAAACTCCAGATCAGCAGGGACTATTTCTGAGGCTATTAGGCAAGAATCAGAAGAATTCAAAGAAAGAGTGAGATGCAAGTTGGTGCAGAGACTGTTGTCTGAGTTAGGGGAAGACAAAACATGAGGAGAACTTGTGTGCAGGCTTGAGAGAGGCTGGCTCAAGCTTCCACCAGGCCTGGGGCTGAGGAAGGTCTTGGGTTTTTTAGCCACGGGGGGTCTATACCTGTCATAAACCCCCTTCCTTCAGGCAGCCAGACAGCATCCCAGCTGGAAAAGCCTGACCCACACAAAAGCAGTACTTTGGCTTTCTTGAAGTAACTCAGTCTACTTCCTCAGTTTATCAGTTCTCTCCTCAGCTCTGAGGCCAAGGCCCTTGAAGCCAGAGCGCTGAGATAAACATCAAGCCCCGTGTTTAAGACGTGACCCTGATATTCAGTAAATAGCTCTTAGATTCCCACTGACCTTGATGAATGAGCCATGACCATGGACGGGCCTCTGTCAATCTGTGTGTTGGCCGTATGGAACAATTAAAAAAGAAAACAGGATTTCTGACTCAAGGCCGGGTGTACTCCTTTGCCTCCAATCCCTTCTCAGATCCTGTTGAAATAAAAGTAGAGAACGTAAAAGGAAATAAGAAAGCAAAGATGGTGACATGAAGGGCTGGTCGGTTAGCTCAGTTGGTTAGAGTATCGTGTGATAACACCAAAGTTCAAGGGTTCCAATCCCAAACCCGGCCAGCTACCAATTAAGAAAAAAAGATGCGGGTAGAAGGCAGCATCCACGCCTGGTTGCTTAGGCTGCTGAGGAGAGGCAATGTCCTTGATCAGCAGGCAAAAAAAAGCAGATTGACTGAAGGTCTGCAAAACAGGTCAACAGCACCAACGGACCATCCCACATTCCTTCCTCACCCAGAAGGCATTCTCCCTCAGGCAAAACATCAGACATCTTGTCTCCAAAGAAACTGAACCAATTTTCTGAGGGAAGTTCAGTTTTCTAGTAAGAACGTTGACAGCCCAGAATAAATATTCCCTATTCTAGCATGTGGGGTGGCCCACAGTCTGACAGTTGCCCCTCAGTGCTCCCCCACTCACATTAAAGCCTTTCAGTTGGCATGTCCTATCTTGACACACAAAGAGTTTCTAGGCAGAATTTCTATGAGAGAGAAACCTAGAGGAAAAGTAGTACAGTATACACCCCAGCAGAGAAAATCTGGGGTACGCGGTAGTTCTTCAGTAAATATTAGTTCACTTCAACCCTCTTTCAGTACCTGGCTGGGTCTGAAAATAAAACTGACAAAGACAGATTAACAGAAGGGCATATAAATTTGTTTAATGTAAGTTTTACCTGACACAAAGAAATGAAGACCCAAAGAAACAGAGACACAGTATATTTTTATGCTAGGTTTGATGACGAAGTGAAGAGTTGTGGAGAAATATGTTTGGACAAAAGAGGTAATAAACTGGGAGGAACTTAGCCAGGTCTGTTGGTTCAGATTCTTCTCTGTGTCCCTGTGTCTTCAAGAGATAAAGACATTCCTTTCCAGGGAGGGCACCTCTCACATGAAGGTCTTATGACCTGCTGTAGGAGAAGGGCAGAGAATTCTAGGTTTTGTGACCTGGTTCAGAACAGAAGGATGGAAGAAAGTCAGAGAGAACTTCCTGCTTCTGGGGTTTTCTCAAACTCCTTCAGCTTAATATACTCACTATGCCAAGATGCCATAGTTTGGGGTAACACATTCTGAGCCTTGTCATTACTAATGATCATCGTTCATATCAGGAGGACCAGCAGCATGCAAAAGAAAGACAGATTTACAAGGAGAAAATCTGATGCTAGAAGAAACAGAGATAATTCAGGGTACAAAGAAAAGTACCTAATACACTTAAAGGTATTCAAGAAGTCACGGGCTGGCCAGTTAGCTCACTGGAGAGAGCGTAATGCTAACACCAAGGTCAAGGGTTCAGATCCCCGTACTGGCCAGACACCCGCCACTCACCCCCAAAATAAAAAGTCAAACATCCATAAAATAAGAACTGGATGCTATAAGAAAAAGGAACAATTAGAGAACAAGAAACGTTTATAGAGATTAAAAATGTGGTTGCAAAAATAAAATGTTCATGTTGATAACTCCAGGCCCAGGGTTCAATCCCTGATACTGACTAACCACCAAAAAATTTTATAAATTAAAATAAAAGAAAAATGTTCAGTAGAAGGATTTTTTAGAAAACTGTATAAAATATATAAAAATACAGAGGCTAGCTGGTTAGCTCAGTTGGTTAGAGTGTGGTGTTATAATACCAAGGTCAAGGGTTCGGATCTCTGTATTGGCCAGCCACACACACACACACGCACACACACACACGCACACACACGCACACACACACACACTATAGAGAGACAGAGAGAGAGAGAGGGAGAGAGAGCAGAAAGATGAAAAGATGGAAATCAGGAAGAAAAGGTAACAAACACAGAGGACAAATCCCCAAAGGAATATATAGTTACTAGGAATCCCAGAAAATAAGATTGAATAAAATGGAGGGAAGGAAACTGTCTTAGGGAAAAATAAGAGCTAATTTCTAGAACTGAAAGGTATGTCTTCATTCTGAAAGGGTTTAGTGTGTGCGCAAGATAATGAATGAAAAATCATCCATACCTAGACAATTACTCATGAAATTTCAGAACATGAAGAAGAACGCAAAAATGTGAAAAGTTTACAGAGACAAAAAAACCAATTCATCTCCAAAGGAACAAGAATCAAAACAAGGTGGGCTGACTGGTTGGCTCACTCGGTTAGAGCGTGGTGTTGGTAACACCAAGGTGAAGGGTTCCGATTCCTGTGCCAGCCAGCCCAACAAAAACCACCCAAAAATGCAACTACAGTAACCACGCTTATCTGTGGTTTCACTTTCCAAGTTTTCAGTTACCCTCAGTCAACCATGGTCTGAAA